AAATCCAAAGACGGATATGCAATGTGATCGGTCCTAAATTGGGCTCTCGTCTCCCGTCACTTTCTCGCCAACGTAATGTGGCTTCCCTCTGTCTTTTCTATAAATATTTTTTATGCCAACTGCTCTAACGTCCTATTTTCACTAGTACCCTGACTGCATGAATTTAAGTGTGCTACTAGGTTGGCATCTCGGTCCCACCCTTTCACTGTCGAAACAGTTAAATGTAACCGTCTCTTCTACTCCAACAGTTTCTTCTCTCGCACTTCCCGATAGTGGAACTCCCTTCCTCTTACTTCCTTCCCTGATAACTATAATCTTCAAAAATTTAAATGTAATGTCAATCGACATCTTCTGTTGCCTTGTTCTTGATCCCCGTTCTTCTTTTTATCTTTTCCTCACCCCCCATACCCAGTCTTTTACTTTCACACTCTGTAACCCCTTGCGTACTAGTGGCATTCCCGCCTTGCTTGGGGTGAAATGCTTTAAAAAAATGGTGACAAGAGTTCTTCGTCTTTCTCTATGTCGCCGGTATGATTAAAATTACAATTGAGCCTTTTGTTGTTATGAGTTAGCGTTCTCATTTTAATCACATTTTAATAGTTAATTCCCCGTAGCCTTGATGTATACTTAAATCACGTGACCGTTTTACGTGTTTTGCTTTCATTCAAGCAGTAAAACGAATATAAAGCAGCATGTTATCCATTGAAGCGTTGTAGTCAATAGACTATATCAGCTTCACACGGATCTATCTATCTATCTATCTATATGTCTGTCTGTCTATCTATCTCAGTCTGGTATATCTATCTACATATATATGTATATAAATATCGCAGTCTGTTCATATCTATCTATCGCAATCTGTTCATATTTATCTAGCTATCTAAATAGCTATATAGCTATCTACCTCAGTCTGTTCATACCTATCTATCTATCTATCTATCTATCTCAGTCTGGTATATTTATCTATCTATCTATCTATATATATATATATATATCGCAGTATGTTCATATCTATCTATCGCAATCTGTTCATATCTATCTATCTAGCTATATAGCTATATATCTCAGTCTGTTCATATCTATCTATCTATCTAAGTCTGGCATCTATCTATCTATCTATCTATCTATCTATATATATATATATATATATATATATATATATATATATATAAATATATATATATATATATCGAAGTCCGTTCATATCTATCTATCTATCTATGTCTATTACCTATCTATCTCGAGCTAGGTCAGTACCTAGATAGGTGACTGCTTGAGAATATCAGGTGCTGTAAGCTTGGATGTGCGGAGAGTATAATAAGTAATGGTTCGGAATTATTAACTGGAGAGCCGAGTTTCAATTCCAGTTGTGTTCGTTATATTCACTGACGTGAAAAATACCTTTGAGAAAGGCATGAATCCACATTTTCTCCCTCAACCTGTAGGTTAATTAGCAAGGCTTGTATCACTAAATCATTATTATGTACTTCACCCACCAGAAATCTTATAATCTACAAATATTTTCTAACTTTAAATAATCAAATAATGGCTAATAAGCAGAATTAATCAAAATCTATCTTTCTATTTATCTCTCTCTCTCTCTCTCTCTCTCTATATATATATATATATATATACATAGTGATAGATAGATAGATAGATAATTGAATCAGTTGCTCAGTTAGTATCTACGAAAGTTTGTTCAATATGGCGTGCATTTTACCTATCTTACATATTCGTAAGTCGACCATTCATTCTTGCTTTGAATATTGCTGCCATATCTGGTCTGGTGGTCCTGCTATATATTTAGACATTCTTGATAAAATCCAGAGAAGCATCTGCAATGTTATTGGTCCTGACCTCGCATTTCGGCTTCAGGCACTTTCCCACCGCCATAACGCAGCTTGCTTGTGCCTTTTTTATAAATAATTTCATGGTAATTTTTTTTTATGACCTTTCCGCTATGGTATCTAGACTTTATGAATTTAAGCATATTACTAGATTGGCGGAAGCGCTCATCATTTTCCAGTTGAAATGATTTGATGTAACCGTAAGTTCTATGCTAATAGTTTCTTCTACCGCACTTCTCGCTTGTGGAACTCTCTTCTGAGATTATACTTCCCAGTTAAATTTGATCTTCAAAAATTTAAATTCAATGTCAACCGTTATCTTCTACCTTCTTAATTATTGTTCTTTTATTGTCCACTCTTCCTTATAGTAGTTTTTCTAATATTCTCTAACCCTCAGCAACCCCCTTGTGTTCTAGTGGCTTTATTGACTACCTTGTTTGTAATTAAATGATTATATATATATATATATATATATATATATATATATATATATAGATAGATAGATAGATAGATAGATAGAGAGAGAGAGGGAGGGAGAGAGAGAGATAACTCCGTGTAAAAGAAGGAATGTTTTATTGAATACAGCGTTTCAGTTGTTAGCTTGTTGCTTTATATTCGTTTTAATGCTTAATGTTAGGTATTCCTCATGTATACTTAAATCAAGTGACCATATTGAATGCCTTAAACTGACATTTTCTTTTGAACACAAGTCTATTAGCCTGTAATGGTGAAACTACGTTACTGAATGCTTTAGACTAAGCTAAGCCTAATAATCAGTCTCTTCATATCTATCTATCTATCTATCTATCTATCTATCTATCTCAGTCTGTTCATATCTGTCTGTCTATCTATTTATCTATCTCAGGCTGTTCATATTTATCTATTTATCTATCTATCTGTTGTGGTAGGATCCACCTAATTTGCACAGTGGAGTACCGACCATATAAATATGGTTGGTACCGGGAAGAGAGGGAGGAATCAAGAGATTCAACCAGAGACTCTGCCCGACTGCGACTCAGTCAACACATTCTTCAGGAACGGTCTTACCAGGAATATACAAAAGACTATATCTAAATATTGTGTACACTTTCTTGTTTCAATACATTTTGTTCTAAGTACCTTTTGTGTTGCATTATTATTCCATGCATTAGTCAAGTTTCAACACTATCTATCTATCTATCTATCTATCTATCTCAATATGTTAATATCTATCTGTCTATCTCAGTTTGTTCATATCTATCTATCTATCTATCTATCTATCTATCTCAATATGTTCATATCTATCTGTCTATCTCAGTTTGTTCATATCTATCTATCTATCTATCTATCTATCTCAATATGTTCATATCTGTCTATCTCAGTTTGTTCATATCTCTCTCTCTCTATCTATCTATCTATATATATATATATATATATATATATATATATATATATATATATATATTTTGCAGTCTGTTCATCTATCTCAGTCTGGTATCTATCTATCTCGAGCTAGGTCAGTACCTAGATAGGTGACCGCTTGAGAATATCAGGTGCTGTAATGCTTTCAAAACTGAAACATACTTTTGCCCCAAACTCTGACCACATAATCTTGATGAGTACTTAAATCACGTGACCATAGAACGTAATTTACTTTCAATGGACCAAGTGTTGCACCAACATAGTCTTATAACACTATGGATTCAGTGACTCCCTGGTCGCATTAAATTAGCTTTAATCGTTAATGCTATATAATCTTGGTGATCATATGACCTGATTTCCTTTCATTCAACTATGTATAACACTGACATGTTATTTACTGGTGCATTTATGCTATTAAATATTTTGCACTAAGTTAAACCTAATAAGCAGCTAGTATAGAGCACTTCTAATGGATACACTGCGTTAAAAATGAATCCTATTATCTCCCTCTGCGATTCAAACCGTGCAATCTTGATGTATACTTAAATAACGTGACCATATTACGAGCTTTTCTTGTATTCAGCTACATGTAAAAGTGTTCTTTTTAGCGCACTGCTATGACCTTATGTGGTCAAGCTACGCTGTTAAATTACATTTCACCTGCTTGGAATTCGAGTTAGCGTAAGCATTCACTTCCGACTATTTCAATAAAGAGATTTGATTGGCCACCAAAGTAAATGACGTATATCAGAGTTAGCCAATCAGCAGATAGCATCTGCGTTCATTCATTCTCGACAAGAAGGATTAACAAGTTTTGCTTTCATACGCCCCAGTCGCGCTTGAGAGAGTTTTATTTACCTTTTATTTCCCTTGCCGACATCACCGCCAGTCGGTGGTTTAGGCTGCAAATTCCATTGAATTCTGTTCCGTCACTATTCGGTTCATGAGCAACATCAAACCAGACGCCAGCGTTCCTTCATCAGAAGCGGAAAAAGAATCTTAACAAGGGAAGCCTTTATTGCACAGTACAACAGCCGTAGTTCTTTCTCTTGTCTTCTCTTTCCTCTACATTCTTTCTCTCTCTACTTTTCTTTCTCCGCCCATATTTTTTATCATACTTTTTTACGTTTCTCTCTCTCTCTTCCATTCTTTGTCTCTATTTTCCTCTCCGATTCTTTCTTTCTTTCTTTCTTTCTTTCTTTCTCCTTCCTCTCTCACTTTTTCATTCGTTATCTTCTTCGTTCGATCCCCTCTTTTTGTATCTACTTGACTTTTTTTTTCTTTTTAACTATATTTCAATTTCTCGGTTTCTCTCGGACATTTTTATTTGCTCACTTTCATTCTTCTTCCTTTTTTCCCACCCTTTCTATCTCTTTTTGTATGTCCTTTCTTTTTATTTATTTTCCTTCTTTTTTCTATCACTACGTTTCTCATCATTTTCTCTTTCTCTTTGTTTGTATTTCTCATTTCCTTAACTTTTCTCAATTTTATATTCTCAGTTTTTTCTTTTGCTTTCTTTCGCTTTTTCATTCTTTCTTTCTTTCTTTTCTTCTTTTCTTTTCTTCTATCTATCTATCTATCTATCTCACTTTTCTTTCCGTTATCTTCCCTTTTCGCTCTTTTTACTCACTTTTCTTTTCCTTCTCTTCTCGTTTTATCTTTCGCACTCTCTCTTCCATACATTTCTACCATTCTTATTCTCTCTATCCTACTCTCTGTCTCTTTTTCGTTCTCTTCCTCTATCTATCGTGAACTTTGTTCTTCAGAATTATATATATATATATATATATATATATATATATATATATTGTGTTCAGCTTTTAAGGATTGATTTCCTGTATCACGCCAAAAGGTACCTGACTCCATCTGGTATATCTTTATAAGGATCAAATCAGACAAAAAAGGGAGTATTGCAGCCATCTCTGGGCTAACGTTTAGTTTCCAGCTTTGATAGATTTCAAAAACGTTTAATCCACCTTGTTGAGGACGGCTTATTTTCTACCATACAGCCATTTTACCCAGAAACGCAAAGTTACAAGCCTATGATACTTCTATGGTAAATATTCCGACGGTCTCCATTCTTTAATGCCATCAGCTCAGAACTTTACAGCTGTAATATTATAGGACACATAATTTCTGGGGAGCATAATAAGGAAAGAAGGCTTAGAAAATTTGACACACACGTAATACAATAAAGGCAAAAGGGACTGTGGGAAACAGCAAGTAGCTTATCTAACGACATTGTGTAGAACATGAAGTTGGAGAGATAGTAAAAAGACAAACATTGCTAGGAGCTACAATATATCGGGAGTCGTGGAGAGCCATGATCACCTGAGCTCTGAGAGGATGCAGCAAATAGAAGAAGAAACAAAATATGTCTAAAGAATAAATCCCTAAAAATGTGATAAGTGAAAAGATCGCAATAAAGAATGAGTTCTTTTAGTCCGGATAACTCTTTGAATGACAATGGTGCTTTTTGCATACCAAGCAAGGCGATAAAGCCACTAAAACGCAAATGATCACCAAGAGGGAAAAATCTGAGAGGACGATAAAAAAACAACAACATTCACTGAGACAGAAGATGACGATTGACATTGTATTTTAGTTTTTGAAGATCATAGTTGACAGGAAAGCAAAAAGCCGAAAGAGATTATCACAAAATATTGCGTGAAGTGCAGGAGAAGAAACTGTTAGCATAGATCCTATTATTAGAACTAGCAATTTCTGCAGTGAAATTATGAGACCTAGCTGCCAATCTAGTACTGCGCTTAAATTCGTGAAGTCGCGGTATCAAAGAGGAAAGCTTATTTGAACAATTACCATGAAATTTTTTTTATAGAAATAGCACAGAGAAGTTAGGTAACGACAGTAGAAAAATGACTGATTTCGAGATGCCAGTTTAAGACCAATAATAATACAGATTCTTCTTTAGATTTTGTCAAAAATATCTAGGGTGTTCGAATAACTTGGACTGATTTTTAATGTGAATTAAGTTTAAGCGTCTAATGATTTTTTTTCTTTTTCTTTCAGAGTTAACAGCTTAAATCTTTGGCAATTTCAACCCTGGAAAGATTAACAATCAAACAACGTGTTAAAGTTATCGAAGCCTATTACAAATGTGGACGTTCAAACAGAAATACATTTCGCGCGCTTCACGATTTTTTTGGTCAACATGGTCGACCAACTGAGTGTGCAACTGGGAAAATTCTTCGTAACTTCAAACAAACTGTGTCGGTAGCAGATGGAAAATGCCATTGCGTGTTCGTTTACGCCGTTCAGCACAAAATATTGCTGCAGTGTACGATAATGTGGCCGAAAATCCAGACACCTCTATTCGTCATCGCGCGTAGGAATTGAACCTCTCAACAACTACGCTACATCGAATTTTGACAAAAGATTTGTCTCTACACGCTTACAAAATTCAATTGATATAAGAGCTGAAACCTGCTGACCATTTGGAGCGCCGTACATTTGTCAATTTGGTGCACGAACAAAGACAAACCTATGAAGATTTTTCGCAAAAAATCCTCTTTAGTGATGAAGCCTATTTTCATCTTGGTCGATTCGTTGATAAGAATTGTCGCATTTGAGCTGACAAAAATCCAAGGAAGATTGTTAAAAAGCCACTGCATTCACAAAAGATCACTGTTTGGTGTGCATTTTTTGCTAGCGGAATCACTGGGTCGTATATATATATATATAAATTTGACCGTCTATTTTCATAATAGACTTCGATAACTTTAACACATTGTTTGATTGTTAATGTTTCCATGGTTGAAATTGCCAAAAACTTAAGTTGTTAAATCTGAAAGAAAAAGAAAAAATGATTAGACGCTTAAACTTAATTCAAATTTAAATCAGTCCAAGTTATTGGAACATCATTTCGCGGTGTCAAGGGAATGTGAACTAACTATAAAATACGTATTACGTACCATTTTTTATAAACATTTTTTTTTTATTTATCTTACTTATTATAAAACCCAGGTTGTGTGTGTGTGTGTGTGTGTGTGTGTGTGTGTGTGTGTGTGTGTGTGTGTGTGTTTATATATTGGATCGGATTTCCTACATTTTTCAACCGATTTCAACAAAACTTCACAGGACTGTGTAAAATTACCTTGCGGTGGTTCTGACAGTTCCCAAAATTGGAAAAACACAATTGTTTTTGCACAAAATCAATTTGAAAACACGATAAAACACGATTCGGTCACCAGAATGAAAGGGGGACAACTCATCTCGAGTTATACTTATTATAAAACCCAGGTTGTTTGTGTGTGTGTGTTCGTTTATATATGGGATCGGATTTCCTACATTTTTCAACCGATTTCAACAAAACTTTTTTTTTTTTGTAGTGTTTCTTATTGTCTTGCACACTTTTTTCTTTATTTTTACATTCAGAATGTTTTAAAAATTCCATTTACAAGACAATTGTTTATAATAAAATTCTATTCAATCGGTAGACTCATAACGATTGAAAACAATGTTTTTGTTTGAGTCTGGGTTTGACCAATTCGTAAAAAACAAACAAACAAAAAAAACTAATTAAGACATGTCAACCTTAAACAATAATCTTTGTCAATTTTATTTTTCAGTCTTTATGATGGTCGATACTTGATCTATCTCTTACTGTTACATCCCCAGGCAACGCCGGGCTCTACTGCTAGTAAATTTATAAAAATCTTTGTGAACAAGAAAAATTTAAATAAACACATAACGACGTGTAACTGTAATTATATATTAAAAAGAACGCATATTCCAGGCATTTATTTCATTTGTTCTCGCCACATAAAATCATTAAAATAAGAAGAGATGCTACCAACCATTTACATATTTTAATAACTTTGTAATATTTTTAGATATGATTTTGAATAAGAAAATTTCTTTTCAAATTTATATTTCTTTATAAAATGGTAAATAGTAAATATCGCATACCATGGACCAAACATGTGAGCAACGACGAAATTTTTGATGGCGTCTCTGCATAGTTCTATTCGATCTTATCAATATGCCTTATTATCTCATCCTTCAGCTGTTGAATTGTTGTTGGCTTGTTAGCATAGACCTTACTTTTGAGATGCCCCCAAAGGAAGAAATCTAAAGGCGTCAAGTCGCACGATAGTGATGGCCAATTTACTTCACTGTTTCTGTTTGAATGTCTATTTTCATAATTCGATAACTTTAACACGTTGTTTAATTGTTAATCTTTCCATGGTTGAAATTGCCAAATACTTAAGTTGTTAAATCTGAAAGAAAAAGAAAAATATCAGACGCTTAAACTTCATTCACATTGAAAATCGATCCAAGTTATTGGAACACCCTTTACATAGCAAAATCACCAGAGCAGATGTGGCTGCAATATTCGACGCGCTGGTCACTGGTAGACATATAAATGTGCAAGATAAATTCTAACGAGAAAAAATTGTTTAGTTTAGTACAACAGAGTGAACCAACCTTCATTTATGATAGGATTAAAAAAAAATTATCTTTTTAAAAAAAAATTAGGTCTGTCATTGCATTAAAATATACATACCCACATGCAAACGTCTACACGCGCACACAATTTGAGGGAATTGAAATGGACCACTGTGTCACAAGGGATTCATTTCTGTTTCTGTCTGGCAATAACCAATAGATTTATTGTTGAAACTCTTTGGTCTGATAAGACGAGACCGAGGAATCGGTCTTATGAAATAAAATATTACCATGAGTTTCTAAAGTTTCCGCTTTCGTCATTATCTTAAGAACTTGGAGAGGAGAATTAACAGGAGATAACTGACATCCATTAGACATGGCACGTGGAACTAGAACAGTCTACCCCAGCGAGTGAAATAAAGTGTTCAGTTCGACATTCCAACCACCTGAAGAAGGCCGGAATATACAATGGCCGAAACATTGTGATAAATATGGCAACAAAGATGAGGATGATAGTCCGAACAATGTAAATAGTGATTAAGGGATTTTCTTCTTTGATTGATGACCGAATTTTAATGGGGCAATGGATTAACAAGTATAAATCCCCACAAGCGAGTTCCATCGAAGAAAGAAAGGTAATGTTTTGCGTGTGGCGGGGAATGTCGGAGTCTTTAAAGTTCTTAAAACGCAATGAAACTAAAGGAACTGAAATTAAATGCACAGTTATACATCCAGCAGCGGCAACGCGTCGAAAAACATTTGGTACTCTGTGCTCATCAATAGGAAAAATATTTTTTTTTCTCAATGACAAAGTAAGGCCACATACGGCAAGAACAACACATAAAAATAATTTGGAACTTGGTCGGTCTGTTCTCTTGCACTAACCATATTCCTCTGACCTTGCACCAACCGGTTATTACCTTTTCCCAATCGCTGCAAAATGCTTTGATAGGAGAAACTTTCTCTAATGAAAACTAGATTCAAAAATTCATTAAAAAGTAGTTCTTCATATCAAAACCTGATTTGTGTCTCCCTTTTTATTTCTAATGTAAAACCGTGTCTATTTGGCTCTAGTGTAAAACTCACCCTGTTTGTCTCGGTTTTTGTTTTTAAGCCTTGTCTCCTCTTTTTTAAGTTCTGGTATAAAAAAAAAAAAAAACGAAACTATCTCTACCTTTCGAGTGATTTTTTATGATTTTCGTCCTACAAGGCTTGTATTCGACATTAAATAAACAAAGATCGTCAAACTAACCAACCTAACCCAAATTCTTCTTTTAGATAATAAAAATAATTGAGCAATTTTCTCTGAATTAACCCTTTTCAGGTGAGCCAGTTAAACACGT